TTTCCCAGTTTTTCATGAAATTCATTATCTTTATTCCATTGCTGTGTGATACTCCAGGGAAAATATACACTATTCTGAGCATATGCTTATGTTACAAGTAATTAGTAGTTGCTAATAAATTATAAGGTCATCATTTTAGATATTTCTGAATACATGCCAATATTTGCCTGAATAAGATCTCCAAACACTAATAAAATGTATTATCTCACCAATGTTCAATTATTTTTAACTTCTATTCTTAGGGTCAGTGACCATCTATAATAAAAATCCCTCTGAAATGCAAGACTTGGAGGAAATCCAAATGATAACTGGTGTTTGTCCTCAACGCAATGTTCAATTTGACACACTCACTGTGAAGGAAAACCTCAGGCTGTTTGCTAAAATAAAAGGGATTCAGCCACAGGAAGTGGAACAAGAGGTAGATGGCCATGCTCAAATTGATCAAAACTGCCAACCATTTGCCAAGTTAAATCATGACCACAGAATTCCTGCCAGTGATTTACTGCCCTGTTATGAATAAAATTTAGACAATGTGGCCCTTTAAAAAAATATATATGTATATGTATGTGTGTGTGTATATATATATGTGTGTGTGTGTATATATATATGTGTATATATATATATATATAACTTTAATGGATGGTTAATCATCTTGGATTTTAAGCTTTGTATATTTTCTTGTCTAGGTTCAAAGAATTTTATTGGAATTGGACATACAGAACATTCAGGATAGTCTTGCTGTACAATTAAGTGAAGGTCAGAAAAGGAAGCTGACCCTTGGGATTGCCATTTTAGGAGATCCTCAGGTAAGTGTGGAGGAATGCAGACTGAGTATCAGTAACAAGTCATGCTCTTTTGTGTGTGTGTGTGTGGTAAAGACATTTTATTGTATACACAGATGATGAAACTACATTTTACTTTATTTATTTACTTGGAGTATAATTGACCCACAACACAATGTTAGTTCCAGGTGTGGAACATAGTGATTCAGTATTTCTGTACATTACAAATGATCACCACAATGTGTCTAGTTACCATCTGTTACCATGCAAACTTCTTAAAATATTATTGACTATATTCTCTATGCTGTATGTTGCATCCTCATGACTCATTTATTTTGTAACTGGAGGTTTATACCTCTTAATCTCCCTCACCTATTTCACTCATCCACCCTCCTCCCTTCTGCTAACCACTTGTTTGTTCTCTGTGTCAATGAGTATGTTTCTGTTTTGTTTTATTTGTTCTGTTTGTTTTATTGCTTAGATTCCACATATAAAAGAGATCATATAGTATTTGTCTTTCTCTGACTTATTTCACTTAGCATAATACCCTCTAGGTCCATCATGTTTTCGCAAATGGCAAGATTTAATTCTTTTTTTATGGCCAAGTAATATTCCATTGTATATGTATCTCACATCTTCTTTATGCATTCCTATATTGATGGACACTTAGGTTGCTTCCATATCTTGGCTGTTATAAATAATACTGCAATGAACATAGGGGTGCATATATCTTTTTGAATTAGTGTTCTTGGTTTTTTGAGGGGGTAAATGTCCAGAAGTGGAATTGCTAGATCATATGGTAATTCTATTTTTAAATTTTTAGGGAAACTCCATACTGTTTTCCATAGTAGCTGTACCAATTTACATTCCCACCAACAGTGCAAGAGTGTTTGCTTTTTTCCACATCCTCACCAATGCTTGTTATTTGTTGCCCTTTGGATAACAGCCATTCCGACAGATATGAGATGATATATCATTGTGGTTTTGATGTGCATTTCCCTGATGATTGGTGATGTTGAGTATCTTTTCATGTATCTGTTGGCCATCAGTATGTCTTTGGAGGAATGTCTTTTCAAGTCCCCTGACCATTTTGTAACTTTTTTTTTTGAATGTTGAGTTGTATGAGCTCTTTGTATATTTTGGATACTAACCCCTAATCAGTCATATCATTTGACAATATCTTCTCCCATTCAGTAGTCAAACTTTTTGTTTCATTGATAATTTCCTTCCCTCTGCAAAAGCTTTGTAGTTTGATGTAGTCCCATTTGTTTATTTTTGCTTTTGTTTCCCTTGCCTGAGGAGACATATCCAAAAAATATTGCTAAGACTAAGATCAAAGAAGTCGGGCTCTTCTTTTACCACTGGTAGTAGTGGAGTTTTCATTGTAGTGGATCAAGAGAGAACCTACTATGTTTAGCCATGAATATAAGTATATTGGACATAAGTTGTTGGATAGTCATTATTATTTTTTGATTTTTATTGTTTTTTATATTATATTGTGGAAATAATTAACATGGAAGAGACACACACTTTATATATCTTCATCCTCTGTAGATTTTACTGTTAGATGAACCAACTGCAGGATTGGATCCCTTTTCAAGACATCGAGTATGGAGCTTCCTCAAAGAGCACAAAGCAGACCGCGTGATCCTCTTGAGTACACATTTCATAGATGAAGCTGATGTTCTGGCTGGTAATTGTTGGTTTTCTCCAACATGACAGTAAAGACCTTGGGAAATATTTATTCCCAGGCCAAGATGCCTGCTCTCATCACCTTGGTGTCTCTATTCCATAGGAATCTGAGGGATGACAGGCATCTAATCCCACCGTAGAATCCCTCAGCAACTTTACATGTGCGAGGCTGTGACCGCTAATGAGAAAAGTGATATTTTTCAGATCAGCTTAATTTCAACATCCAGATCTTCTTTCACATATATTTGGTTGAAAATATCCATTCATTCTTTACCATAAAGAGTAGGAAATATGCCTGTGTAATTTATGGTTTTTTTAAGAAGTGTTGAGGGCCACTGAAGAAGACTGGAATGCATAAGCTTATTTTAAATGCATCTATTTTAATGCATGTTTCCAATTTTTAAATGCACCTTAGATGTAGTTATGCCACAGAACCCTTCTCCTTTGGAAATCAGAGCTGTGCTCCTCCACCCATACTTTCTAGAGTTGGGAGAAGTGACTCCTATCCTTTTCTCTCTCTTACTTCTTGTTACTCAGATAGAAAAGTGATCATGTCCAGCGGGAGACTGAAGTGTGCAGGCTCCTCCGTCTTTTTGAAGAGAAGATGGGGTCTTGGATATCACTTAAGGTAAAGACTTCAAGGGAAGATTGGATATGTAGATGTATTTCTGATACTGGTATAGCAAAAAGGGAGACCATTCTGAGAGAGAATTGGCCTCGTGCTCCATCCCTGCTGAACTGGATTAAACAGTGTTTCCCAAAAGCTTTTTTTCCCCACATTCTTGCCTCCTGTATCTTCGCTGACCAACGGTGGGCAGAATCCCAAAGGGGGAAGCCTAGGCTGACTGGTCACAGCAGGGCTTCTTCCGGACCACTTTCCAGGTTGCCGCTCTGTGCAGCCTCAACCTCCACCTTTCCCCACCCTCAATTCTCCTCAGCTGATCCGTAGAATCCTGCAGTGTGTTCTCATTCTTTCCTAGGGCACAAGGTCCAATGCTTTCAGAAGCTAGTATCAACCAAGTAAATCTGGTGGCAGAGAGAGGACTGTGTCTAACAAGAAAGTATGTCCAGGCTAAAAAAATTAAAAAGCAAAACAAAACCTGATGGCCAAACAAAACATATATGAAGGGCAAAGTTCCCTATTAGACACTAATTTTCTGTTATCTACACAATTATTTTCCCTAAGAAATCTCTTCTGCCTAATGTTCTTACCTCCCTCTGTTTATCTTCATGCTTAATATGCAGTTTTAATTACATTACATATTTGTAGTTTTGAGTTTATACACCTTTTCCGTTTAGATCAAAAGATTTTTCAAACCGATGGCATTGTTATTGTTATTTACTCATTTTGTTTGTTCCCTAAATCCAAGTAAGGTAGTACTCAAAAGCTAGAAATCCAATAAAAGCTCTTTTTTTCTGGTAGCAGTAGAGAAAATACAAATGAATTGTCTTTTCTTTTACATATTAGTTTGTACAGAAATGAAACATGTGATCCAGAAAAAATAACATCCTTCATTAATCATCACATCCCTGATGCTAAACTGAAGACAGAAAGCAAAGAAAAGCTTGTGTATACTTTGCCTGTGGAAAGGACAAATAAGTTTCCAGGTAACAAATATGAATACAATGGAGTGAAATTTGGGAACAAGTGTTCACATTATTATTACAGTTTCCATTGTTTAATGGATTTGGATCTTGTTTTGGGTTGGGTTTCTTAAGAAGCTGAACTTGAGACGAAGTATTTAGTGGAACTGATTTGTTTGGTAATTGATGCTTAGAAGCACCATAAGGAATGGGGACGTGAGAGAGGGAAGGGGAGGAAGCCAGGGAAGTTTGCATTTTCAGGCAGGTTATTGTAATAAGCCATTGAGATATGAAGCCGCCGAGAGAAATAAATGAATGAGGGGCTCAGAGTTCTGTCACCAGAGGGGTGAGAAAGCCAGGGTATTTAATCACCACTCCTTATTCGTCACTGGTTAAGAGGTGCTTCCAGGAGTATTAGTTTTCTGACCCTTCTGGCCCACCATGTGCCCACCATGAACTTAGCATGCTGCACAGCCCAGGGGAAACAATGCCTCCAGGCAGGTGTTCTTAATAAGCAGACTGGCTGTGTTTAGGTGAGTGCAGAAGAGGTGGGGGTGGAGCATCACGGCCGCTGCTACAGGTTCCCTTTTCTATTTTAATTTAATGGTGTATGTAATTATTTTGCAGAGAAAAACATAGCTTATTTATTCTACCCAAGTATTTACAATGGGTTCCCAGTCTGCTGGGTAGCACCACCCAACTAGGATTTCTGTGATTAAGTAATTCTATAATCACTAGCTCTTGGCACAGTACTTACCCATCAATCAGGCCCTGTTCTGACAGCTTCATATATGTCAGCTCCTTTAGCCCTCACAACGGTTCGGTGAGGACGGTGCTGTGATTCTCCTTGTCTTACAAGGGAGGAAATGTGTCCCAGTCTTTTCTGATTTAAAGAGTTTCTTTTTGCTTAAAAATTTACTTTCATTAAAGGTTTAACTCTCTGCAGGCCTGATTAAACAGGCTCATGTGGATGATTCACTCTCATTAGACAAGCACTCAGGAATTCAGATTTAGTCTCAACCTGCAAACAGGGTGGCTTTCTGTCGTCCTTGGAGTAGCATGGAAGATGGTGTCCTCAGGTCCTCAGGCTGTACTATGTTCTTCTGTTCTTGGACTAACGTCCAATGAGGTGCAACTAGCTTGCCTTCTTTTTCAGTTGGGGAAGAGGAATAGTAAGTTATATGCTGATATCACCACTAGAATATGTCACTTAGCCAGAGTCCCTGGTGTTGATGCGTGAGCCGTGGCAGCCTCAGATGCAGACTCCAGGCCTCTGCCAGTCCAGTGGCATACTTATGTCCTTGCTAGAACATCCCAGAGCCCCTGCACGTGATGTGCAGGCCGTGGGGAAATACAGTGCCTCTCCAACCTCAGGCTTCATCTAGTTCCTCTCAGTAGTGTTGCTGGCCTATCCGGCAACCATTTGTAGAAAGTGGTAGGTGAGAGTCTTCTCAAAGAAGCTTACGTCCTCATCCAAGTACCCACCATGAAAGAGATACATAATAAATGTTTATTGGGAACCTATTGTATAAAAGGCACTGCTTAATGTGCTAGGGATTAAATAAGACATATATGGCCCTACCCTCAAGAAGCCTACATTCCGTTGGGTGGAGAGAAGTGGACATACACAATAACCCAAATGACATTACAACTGTATAATAAAATAATAAACATACGGGTTTGACTGGTGTTAGGCTGGGGTTTATATGGAGTAGTCACTGAAAACTACAAGAGGAAAATGTTTGAAGCATTCCAAGCAGAGAGGGAAACGGGATGTCTGGACTGCAGTGAGGGAGCAGGCAGAGTGGCAAGTGGGGATGGGTAAGGTTGTGGGGATAGAGACTTGCACATATGGAGCTTTGGAAGCTGTGGTGTGGTCGTTGAACTTTATTTTAAGTGCATTGAGAAACCACTGAAAGTCATCAATGGGGGCTTGATGTGATGTGACGTATATTTTCATTCTCTGGGTATAAAAGATCACACCAGATATAGAGGACATGAATGGACACTAGGAGACCAGCCATGTGACCATTTCAGAGGTGTAGGTAGAAGATGATGGTGATTGGGTTACTATGGTACCAGCTGAAAGATGGTTGAAAATGGGTAGATTTGAAACATACTTGGAGATAAAGCCAAAAAGAATCTGGCTAATGGCCAGTCTGTGGCGCACAAGGAAAGTGAAAAATCAAGGACGACCTGCAGCATTTTGACTTGAATTACTAGGTGGAAGGTGGTGTCATTTATTGTGAAATGATGGGAGGGACAATTGGGTAGAATGGCGAAAGAGGAATTAATGCTCTGTTTTGGAAATGTTTACTCTGAGATGCTTTTAGACTTCCAAGTGGAGATGTCAAATGGCCAAGTATATAGTTGGTTATAGGACACTGGAAATCAGAGAACGAAGTGAGAATTTAATTTGGGAATCATTGGCATATAGATGGATTTAATGAAAAGGGATTGGATTACAGTGTATGGAAAGAGAAGTGATCTAGGACTGAATCCTCAGGAGAGAGTAGAGTCAGAGTGTGGTGGAAATCAGAAGCCCCCTGTGAAGCTGAAGGAAAAGCAAGAGAATGTGTTCTCAAGGGAGAAAATGTTTCTTGAAGGAGGGAAGAGTCAACAGCTTTGAATAAAAACACCCCCCTCACCATACCTGGCCATTACATTTAAAAACCTGGACTCACTGATGACGTTGAAAAGAGTAGCTTCTGTGGAGGGATAAGGGTAGCATTAGGATTTGTGTAGGGTAAGTGTGCATCAGATGTGACTAATGAAAGACAGCACAGTAGACAAATCTTTGAAGCCATCTGTGTGTAGGGGGGCATGTGGGGAGTAGGTTGTTTTGTTTTGTTTTGTTTTGTTTGCTGTTGCTTGTCTTTGTTCAGTGGGCAACCTCACAGCACTTTTGCATTTGGGGTGACCCAGTTCAGGTAGGAGAAATTGATGATGCAGGAGAGAAAGAGGAGATTATTTGGGGAAGTCCTTGAGATGCCCAAAAGAAATGGAATTCAGGACACAAGTCAAAGAGGTCGTCTTTGGTGGGAGCAGCTACAAATCATACAGAAGGAAAATCAGGAGACATATATGCTAATTTATGATGTGGAGGTGAGAAGACGATGCTCCTTCTGATTGCTCATCTTTCATCAGAGACTTTGCAGGCAGTTCATGAGCAGGGAATAGAAGACAGCGTGTAGACAGTGTGAGGACGGAGGGAGAAGCCTGACACACTCATTTCAAGGAGGGAGAACATTCTACTAAAATTTTGTTTTTGCCTACTGTGATATTCCAAAGACATACATTTTCTGAACAATAGTCGGCATCATCTTTTAAATAAATTTTAATCTACTCGGTTTAGTTATAGATGTGGTATTTCAAATGTATCTATTCCCTTCTGTTGCCTTAGACCTGTTCAGTGATCTTGATAAGGGTTCTGGCCAGGGTGTGATGAGTTATGACGTTTCCATGTCAACTCTGAATGAAGTCTTTATGAAACTTGAAGGAAAATCAACTACCGAACAAGGTAAATCTCTTTGTATAATTCATAGAAGATCAATTTCCACATGATTATGTATCAGCTTAGTATTTATAATGTCTTATGCATGATTCACACTAAGGAACGGGACAAATTCCAGATTTGACTCTGCCGTTTGGGAGGGGCTGTCATTGTTTCCTCACATTATTACTAGGACTGAACACAGATCCCTTCTTGGAATATCCCAAATTTCTGTTAGGAAACTGTTTTCTTCCTATTTCAGTAGTTTTCTCCTGTCCCCAGATGCTCACTGCTTCTTGGATATTTTGAGGATGTGAAAGGCTCTCAGTCAGGGTCATGAGGTCTGACCAGATATTTCTGCTAAGGGTTAAAAAATGCCCTTAGCTTGTTCAAATACAAAATTCCACTAAAGGCTTAATGGGGAGAAGGGTTAGCAAATCTCCCAAGATGTATTTTAATGGGCAATAAGAATGAGTTGTCAACAATGGAGTGTCTGTTTGATCAATGTGTAGCTACTGCATTATCTTTTCCTAATAACCTTTCCAGCAAATGCTTTGGACACCATTTTACATGTTAGAAATTCAGACCTGAGAGCACTTAAGTGATTTGTCCCAAATCATGCTGCTTGTAAGTCATATATTTGGGAATCAGGTACAGATCTTCTGGTTCCAGAGCTGGCACTCTTTCACCGATAGGTCTGAATTATTGATAGCTTAATAGTAGGCATTTAGGCATCAGTGACTGGCTCTTCCTTTGGAAAAGATTTCTTGAAATCCCTCAGAATATTGTTACATATGGAACCTTCCATGCCTCTTCAAAGACTGGGCATAATGAGATCACCCTTTCCTGAGTTATTCTTTTGGTGTGAATTCAGTATATTTTACCATTGAGTTTATTGAATGTGGCCATCATAAACATAATTCTTATATTCTTTGCTTTGTAACCACAAACATTCTAAAGCAATTTTTAATATTACTAAGAAGAGGAAGCTATGATGCCCAGGGATAACATTCACATTGTGTGTGCATGCAGATTTTGAACAGGCAGAGATGATAAGGGACACAGGAAGCCAACATGAAATGGAGCCAGCGTGCTTTTCTCTCCCTGAAACGCAGAAGGCTGTGAGTGGCATGCGTCTCTGGAGGATGCAGTTCTGTGCAATTGCACGGCTCCGTTTCTTAAAGTTAAAACATGGAAAGAAAGCACTTTTGACCCTGTGAGTATCAGAGCACTGTGGTTTGTTAGATAATGAGTGTCAAGAGAGGGTTAAACTAGAAGTAAATTTAAAACTAGAACACAATACCCAACCAACACTCCTGCCAGAGGACGGATAAAGGCAGTGCTTGATTTTCCCAGCAATGGGAATACCATACATTGGACTTTGTAAGCCTTACTCAGAGGTCTGTTTAATATTCACAGATTGATAGCCTGGTGCTTATATAGCAATGCCTCTCAGCACTGTGTGGCGTACTAAGGTATGACTTGCAAAATTCTAGCACCTACAGATGGAACTCGACAAATATTACTCGACAAATATTTGTGCAATGTCTGGCTGAATGAGTAACATTGTTATAGATTCACACGGTAATTTTTCTTTGTTGGTAGACTGTTCGTATTTGGGATTGCAATGCTCCCTTTGATTGCGGAAAGGATACATTATGCTGTATTAAGTCAGAAGACTTCTTGGGAGTTTAAACCTGAATTGTATTTCCTCTCTCCTGGACAACTTCCCCAAGACCTTCGTACCAGCTTATTGATCATCAATAATACTGGTAAACAGAAAAACAAACACTTAAATCTGGAAATAATTTATTTTTATGTTTAAATAACATTTGTTGGGAGGGAGGCAAATTATAAGATATGAAAATGTGTGTATTTAAACCTCATTTATAGAAAACTGCTTATGAGGAACAATGCATATTTGCTGTGACCTGGGTGGGCATGGTGGGACAACTAGAAGGAGCCTGAGTCACTGTGTAACCTGGTAGAGTAGAGCTGCGCATCTCCCTGATTATCCTAAGGTCTTATGTGAGAGGGACGTAGACTACTGTATTTACTGAACCTCCCCATTTTTAGATCTCTTTGTTACAGCAGCCCAACCTAGTGCATATGTATTGTGCTCACTGATTGATATATAAAGATGGCATTTTTATACCCTAAGTCCCTCCAACAAGATCTGGGAAGATTCCTTTTAAGACCGTTTGGAACCCATGATCTTGTTATCCTAAATGATGGGTAACTGGTTTTGCCTAACTGTTCATTTAATTGTGAAAAAGAAGCTTTTATGTTTCTCTCTAAGATGTCAAAAAGTATGTTCAGAGTACAAGTCTTCCCTTGATGACTTCCCCCTGCATGTTCCAATTTTTATATCCATTTGTGACTCAGAGTTCTAGGTGTCACATCTTTAAACCAAGGTGGTCTTTTTGTTTCTGATTCTTGATCTCTTTGTTTTCTGTTTGAGTTTCAGAAAATAAATTTTATTCACTCTGCTACCCTAAAACTGAAAGTCTTGCTAATTGTATAGTGGATTTCCAAGATCTAGAATTGCTTACCTTTCAGTCTTTCATCTCATGTATGTGTTTTCCTCTCCAGTCACTCTGAGATAACATACTTGTGATTACTATTTTTTTCTTCTCTGTACTTAGCTGTTAGCTGTTTTGTGATTTAAGTTTGGAGCTTCTATGCCATCTTGTTCCTCTTTTCTCAATATCTGTTGAATCTGGGTTAAATATTCATCTTTAAATTGGAGAATCCCTGTTTGCCTAGGTGAATGTGGGTCACCATTAAGGTAAAGTGACTGCAGTGGGATGTGTGGCTGCCCCAGAATGCCTCCCAATTCAAAATTTAAATGAGCAAAAGATGAGAGTCCTCCCTTTTCCTTCTCATTCCACCCTGTCCTTTTAATTGTCTGGAGTTACCTTAGGTCTTGCCCTGATGTTTTCCCCAGATAATGTCTCTTAGAAAGTAAATTTGGGGACCTCTATCCTGGGGGACCACTGCGGCTGCTGCCTCCTCTGTGGGGAACATGAGAAGCGGCATGTGGTCACCTTGTTCAAGGCGTGGTTAACCAGTCAGTGAACCTGACCGTGGCTTCAGAGCCCGCTTTGCCGCCTGAATTTGCACACTCTGAGTCTAGATCTCCTGGAAGTTGGTTTACCTCGTAGCTGTTTGCTCCTGGGCGCCCTAGGCTGCAGGTCTTTCTCAGCTCTTTTTTCTCTGTCAAACCAGCCTCAGCTGCTTGCTTCTTTAAGGGCATATCAAAAACTGTGGTTGGATAGTATTCCTCTTCACTTCCTACTTCCTAAGAGCAAAAATATATCAACGTAGCATATATGTCAATATGTAAAATAGACGTAAAATAGATGTGTGAGTTATACATACACATACATATATTTATTTTTCTATTATTTCGAATAAGGGAGAGGGAAGCGTTATTATCGGACATTTTAGGCTGCCCAATCTAAAGTAATTCTCATACAATTACTATATTTCCACAAATTATTGAGTTCAAGTGTATTTTTTTAACCACAAATCAGAAAATAGTGTTATCTTGTTTTAATGGTCACATGTTAACTTGCATTAAATATAATTATAAAGTTATCACAGCATAAGATTTGATAAATAAAAGATGATAAAATGGGTTCTCTTTCATGGGCCAGTATTATTTTGATGCCCAAAGAGTCATGCCTTTACATTAATATTCTATAAATATTGACTTTAAATTGTGTTTGTGATTTATTTTTTTAAATTGGTCTTCTGTTATTGATTTAATACCAGAATCAGACATTGAAGATTTTATACAATCACTGAAGCATCAAAATATCCTTTTGGAAATAGATGACTTTGAAAATAGAAATGGCACTGATGACCCATCTTACAATGGAGCTATCATAGTTTCTGGTAAACAAAAAGTACGCTTGCTACTTGCCTCTTGTTTTTGCTTTTATGAAAAAAGTAATTAAGTGCAACATTTTAACAGTTTTAAAAACTGCAGAAAGTCAACCCAGCTAGTATACAACAACCTGACTCCAAAACATTCGGGGTTATTATTGAATAAACTGTGAAGTTTAAATAATAACTCCTTGGAAAACATTTTGTATCTTAACTTTTGAATTAGATGATTTTTTTTTACATTTTAAAAGTAGCTAAATGTAGTTGCATTATTCAGACTCAGTAAAATATTAGACCTTATAACTACCAACCAATGCAGTTATGAATTTAAGAAATCCTATTTAATGACTAATTACCCAAATAATATTTTGACATAGAGAGAAAATACATTAAATATTATAATAACCACATGAAGCCTCTGAGAAAAATGTGTTCTCAGTTTATCATTTAATATGTTTCAATTTGGATAGAAGAGTACAAGCAATAGAGATCCTGTGAGGAACGAAACTATTGAAAATACATCCCAACCTTAAGGAAGACTCTGAGTTCTGTGTCCCCGTGGAAGGCTGGAAGCCAGATTAAGTGACGCTTCCTCTTTATTTCTTGCTACAAGGGAAATAAAAACAAAAACTAAAGCCTTTGACGATGGACAGTGAGTTCAGTTCTACCTGAAGTTAGTATGTCGTGAAAAACGTCATCTCTGTGAAGACTGTAGGAAACCACGTTGCTTGGCATTGCTTCCCCTGTCACTTATCTAACGTATTTATTACATGAGTTACTGGTAATATTTAAACAGTATTGAGCCTCTTGATGGACACGGGAACATTGTCATCAACGTGAAGACCATTATCTTAGAAAGTGTGAAAATGCTTCATTATCAGTGTAACCATGAATATTTTATGAATTTTATGCTTATCTCCTACTCATAAAATCAAGGTTCCTTTGCTGGCTCACCGTAAACTTACACAGTGTCCCCTTGGCACGACCACATTCAAGTTCTGTTAGTTGAAATTTCTTCATCAACAAAATGAGGACGAAGTGATCTAAAATTAGCAATACTAATAAAAACTCATATTGCTGACTGTGCTGTTCACCGTGCTAGGGTGTAATAGATGTGATCACATTTAAAGTGTAACAGCCCATTTATCATCCTCTTTCACAGAAGTGGAAGCTGTAGCTCAGAAAGGCCAGTTAAAGGTGGTCACACATCAGGAATACGGCACTGTTAAGATTTTACATACAAAACCTTTTTCTTTGTTCTCTAATGATTTAGAATTAACATTATTTTATTTGTCTTTGTTTTGTATGAAGGCTTATAGATTTTCAGTTGTGTGCAATACCAAGAGACTGCACTGTTTTCCTATTCTTATGAATGTTATCAGCAATGGGCTACTTCGAATGTTTAATCATACACAATGTATTCGAACCGAGAGAAGCTCATTTCCTTTTGTAAGTATTGGATTTACTCATTCTGAACAATTAGGAATTTGACAAGCAACCTGTTTCCCCTCTTTAGCCTTTAAATACTTAATAATTGATTGTTCATCCTTAAAGTTATTATTTTGTCCTAACATTATAAACAGACTATATGTAACAAAAGATGATTTTTGACTTGTTATTACCAGAGAAGTCCCATGGAGGAATATTTTTTATTATGTCATAGTCTTCCTAGGGAATCTTCTGAAAAAATACATCCTTGATTGCTGAAGTGTATTGGAGAGAAAGAGAGAGAGAGAGAGTGTGTGTATGTGTGTGTGTCTGTCTGTCTGTACACTGAATTGGAAATCAGGAGCACTTATCACCCAGCTTGAGGACCTACAAATCCAATATAATTTGTTGGTGGACCCCTCATTGACTGAATGGTAGTAGACATACTGAAGTGAAGAAGAATTTGCCAGTCCTCGGGCTGTCTGCCTTCTGATTAACTGCTCCACTCACCCCCAGTTTCTTTACATTACGTCTGTGATACCCACAGGCTGGATTTTCAGGATCTTTGTCAGCTGGCTGTAAGATGGATCTAGACAACAGGAAGCAGTGATAGGAACCAGCCCCCAGCAATCACCTTTCTCCTTGCTGTTTCTATGAATTTGACTACTTTTGTTACTTCATCTAAGTGGGATCATATACTTGTATCTGTCTTTTGGTGATGAGCTTACTTCCCTTAGAATGATGTCCTCACAGTTCATGCATGTTGTAGCATGTGGCAGGATTTCCTTCCTTTTTAAGGGTGAGTAATATTCCATTGCTTGTGAATACCACATTTTCTTTCTGTTTGTCCACGGACATTTGGTTGCTTCCATCTCCTGGCTGTTGTGAATAGTACTGCTGTGAACCTGTGTGTGCAGGTACCTCTCTGAGACCGTGCTTTCAGTTCTTTTTGAGGTGGGTCCTGAGTTGTTTTTCACTTCTCTTTCTCCCTAGGAGTTGAAGCCTCGTGCTAGATGATCAGAAATGATTTTGCCGCCCACCTCCATGCGTAGCTGTTGATGAACTATCTGTACACTTTTCTTTTGACTTTTCAGTATTTCAAGAAGCACATTTGTTTATGATGATTAGTATTTGTTTCATTTAAAAAATATTTCCTAGTTTAAATTATTTTAATTAATTAATTAGATATATTTCATTGAGTAATTAATTTGTTTAAAGCTAACTTTGATTTGTGACATTAGATAAGGTTCATGTGTGTGACATTATGTTTTCCCTTCTATATACCCTACAAAATAAAGCGCCTTTTATGTTTGCAGATTTATGCACCGTTCTGGACTGGGCTGCCAGAGGGCTCCTTTTTCTTGTTTTTTGTTGTGTGCAGCCTGTCTCCTTACATCGCCATGCACAGTGTGAGTGATTACAAAGTAAGTAGAGGGGAAGGGGCCCTCAGTGATTGCGTTTTAAATGCTATGTGTTTCCTCACAGGAAAACATTTTATGATATACTTGAAATAGATGATGTAGTTAAGCATTATCTCTATCAAGTCAGAAAATTTACTTCTCAAAACACAAAATACTTTTTACTCCAAAATTACAGGGAAAGTTCAGTAATCTTGCAGGGACTCAAATTAATCTAAACCTTCAAAGGGGAGTATTACAAAACTTTCGACTACATTATTTCCTAACTACAGGGAAGAACATTGAGGACAATATTTAAGACTTGAATACTTTCTACAGTGGAGAATAAAATTTGGGGGGTTATATTTGTATTGGGTTATGCCTATTATCCCGGCAAAACAGTTACATTAGATTTAAATAAGTCATCCCTCAGCATTCTGAGTCAGTTAACTCTCCTAGAGCATATTCGCATAACGGAGAATTTATTGTCCTTCAAATCACAAAATAACATTTTTTTGAAGGAGATTAATGCCTTGATCATTATGAGGCCTACTTTTCTATTCATTCTTCATGAGTTAAAGTAGTGTTATGACTCAAATCTGTCAAATGAAACAGTACTCATTTTCAAATATACCTAATTAACAGCATATACCTAATTAAAATTATTAAAAGATTTAAAAATATTAGAATATGAGATTATACTTATATTTAAAAATCTTCCAACGTGTTTATTTTGGATTTGGATTTCAATCAAATCTATGTGTATCTTGTGTTTTCTCATCAGAGGAGATCTAAGTCCCAGCTGTGGATTTCCGGCCTCCACGCTTCTGCTTACTGGTGTGGGCAGGCACTGGTGGATGTCAACCTCTACAATTTTATTCTCCTTTCAATGTATTTAACTTTCTACGTAGTAAACCTGCTGCCCATTTATCTCACAAGTCGAATTGTGTTTGCTTTCGTAAGTAACACATTACGTAGACAGCATCTTATAAAGTAATTCATAATAAGTTTTAGTATTTATATTTTATATAATCATGATGTCTTCATCTTCATTTTGTCATTAACCAACACAAAAAGCCATGCAAAGTGCATGTGTAATGAGAAACATAAAAAATATTTATAATCTTGCCCTCAGTTAATACTTCTTTTTTTGACTATGTCATTTATTTGTATTATCTTCAGGCTGTGATTACATTTGGCTATGCAGCTTCTCTTGTCTTCCTGACGTATGTGATATCATTTATCCTTCGTGAGAGGAGAAAAAATAGTGGCCTTTGGTCATTTTGCTTCTATATTGTAAGTACTTACGCAAACACATAGAGTTCTTTTTTAAACTTTAAATGTACCGTTAAAAATAGTCACATTTACTTTGTGCAGTGGGGAAAATTAATACCTTAAAATTCCACACTAGAAAGGAGAGGGAATGTAACATGTTGTTGAGTCAATGAAGTTCCTGGAGAATTCGTGTATAACCCTTGACTAGAATCTATGGAGAACCTTACAGAAGACCTGGAATTCACGATGCTATTATTGAGTTACTGGACCTTTCAGAATATAGGGCTCCTGGTAATTCTAGAACAAAACACGGCTTTATAACATTTGACAGTACAGTGCATTCCTGTGGTCTTTAAGAAGGCCACTTTTAACATCAGATGCTCATCATTTAAGAGATCAAAGATGTTTTCATACTTGTGCCAAAAGACTTGTTAGTAAATATAAATGAAAGATTACTGAAAGCCCAAGATTACTGAAAACTCGGACAGAAATCATTCCCAAGGCTCAGGAGACCCAGAGTGTCGAATCTCAGCACGTCAGGTGCCTATTAGCTGATACCCCAACTGGTGGCTGAATGTCTGTCTTGCAAACACAGCTCGCACCTGTTGGAGCGGGAGTCCTGAAACATGAGAGGACCCCAGCCAAATTCCATCTGCTAAGAAAATATGTTTAACATCATCCATTGACTTCCATAAGAAATCAGCCTTGGGCTGCTCTGGTCACCGAGATTTTTCCCTTCTCAGTGGACAGTATTCTGATTTGGCTTCTCTAGATTGTATTTCTCTGTATTCAGCAGGTAGTGTCTATTATTATTCCTCTTAGCCACCATCAGCACAACCCATTCCAAGCACAGAAGTTAGAGAAAAAAACTATAGAGTTACCTTACTTGGAAGACTGGCTTTGAGGCAATCACAAAGATTTGGTGCACCAAAAGTCTTTCCATTCATGCTTTGCATTGGGAACTTTTTTTGGTTAGGTCAAAAGACTTACTCCTTTTGCCCAATGTAAATTCACATCCTGGGTCCGCAGTACAGATGTCAGTCTGATTAATCATTGATTTCTTTTCAGTCAGTACTTTCGTGCGTGTCTAGCAAAGGTGAACAAAGAATTCGTGTCCACACTTTGTGTCTTCTAGTAGTTTCAACTCTGAACAAAGTCTTTCTCAGAGCTGATGGTCAAGCAATGTCAGGGTTATTGGCCACTATGGCTGTTGACAGTTCTGTGACTGTCCGCCTGACCGAGGCTCGAAATATCCCATGAGTGACCTCAGAGACACTCTTTAAGCTTATTGGTCTTCAGTCCTAAGTCATGGTTCCTTTTTCTTAATGTCTTTTCCCACTCTTTATGTTGGCTCTCCTTAAACAGAAACCATTCCAGACTGAGATAAATGCATGTCTGGATGAATGCATGTTTGCTGTGTGTCAAGTGAGAAGTCAGCGCCTGGTTTACCGTGTACTCACAGTTCATCCTGGCTTGTGCAGACTTGACAGTCTCTCAGATGAGGGCAGCTCAACATCAGCAGCAGACCGCACCTCAGCCCCTGATCCTTCAGCTTTCAGTGAGAAGCAGAAGAGGGGTGGAGCTCTTCTCAGGGATGCAGGCTCTGGAGTGGTGTTTCGGATTGGAAAAAATGCAGACAGAATTGTTTCAGCCAAGTTCTAGGATTTCAGTGTATCAGTTCCACAGGATATGACAGACCTTCCAGAACTTGATACACCAGAACCTGCTAGAGCAATAGCTTTCATCTCTTGGCATAGAGAGAGGAGACCACTGCTTTCCTAATCTTTACGTAACAGAGCTTGAAAGTCTAATGAGGGCAAAGTTCCTTTAATACATGGGAGAAGGCAGAATCAAATCTGCTTATCTTATTGTGAATTCCTCAACTGCAAGTGAATAAATGAAGAAATTTGACTTTGTTATTTCTAAGGAAAGTCATGATAATACAGACACTTTTACTGTGAGGTTTGTGGATTAATGTGATGATTAAGATGTTCTCTCTGTGATATTAACAAACTATAGCAAGAAAAGCACCACAGCAGAGAACTGAACATTTGACTCTGAAACGCTGCATTTTTCAAATGGAAATTTATCTACAAATGATTGGATACTGTTTTATCCTTTGTTGCCAACTATTTTTTGAATTATTACCAATTAAAATAAGACAAAGTAGTATTGCAGAAGCAAGCTAAATTTTGTAAAATAAAAACATCTTTGTTCAAAATGTAAAAAAATACCTCATAGTGTTACAGTACAATACTCGTTTATAATTTCTGATTATTTTCCCTTTTTCTTTCTCATCCTTATCTATTTCAAATTAACTTGTCTATTTTATTTTTACACTATTGAAAAGAAGCTGCATGCTTATGGAATACTGGAATGTCAGATTTGAAAACAAGTCAAGATTATCTAGTATAATTTACCTCATTTTACGGAGGGGAAAAAAATAAGTAACCTGTTTAAAGTCATGCAAAAATTAGTGACAGACTCAGGAATAAAATTAAGGTTTCAGGAAGTCTATTTGGTCGTTTTAGCTTTCACATTAATCTCCAGAATTTTTTATCCAAGAATTTTCTGTTGAGGTGCTGAAGATCACTTATGTTCTCATTAACAAAAGTTCCTCCCTTCCCTTCTCCCTTTGAAAGGGGTATTTCTGCATATGGGAAAATTCTCATGTATATAATGAGAAACACCTACACATCTTAAATATTTTATCAAATACCAATGACCTGAATATGTATGGCATATAATATATTTCACCTTGCCTTGTAGAGCGCGGTCATCGTGTTTAGCATCCTGGCTGAATTTGGCTCACTGCCTATCTGGATTGTTGGCATGATATTAGTGCCCTCAATGACCTTGGGCGGATTTGTAGTTTTCTTGGAAGAGGTAAGAAATGTTATCAATTGTGTCATTAACTTTGAATATGCAGCCTATTAAAGTACTGTGCCTCAATCTATAAGGACAAAAGCGGACAGGTGTTTCCTAGGGCTTGGGTGGGTGTGAGGAGTGACAAGAAATGCTTCTGAGGTGTCTCTTTGGGGTTGATGGAAATGTCAAGTGAATTGTGGTGATGCTCTCACAACTCTGTAAATTTACTGAAAATCCTTGAATTAAACACTTAAGATAAGTGAATTTTATGGCATGAAAATGTAACCTCAGTAAAGCTATTTAAAAAGCTTTGCTGTATGCACTTTACAAAACATGAACATTGTCGAATGCTATTCAAAAGTAATGCCAGAATGAAAAACATTGCCTAATTTAATGGGTCTTCATTATCCATTGAGAGGATATTCTGATATACAATAACATTCATTCATTCAAAAATATATATTAAACGTTATTCTGTGTTAGATGCTGTACCAGTAACTGGGGACACATGATGAGCAAGGTAGCGCAGGCCTTCCTTTCACAGAGCTTAGTGGAGACAAGACAGGCCAGCTTCAGGCAAGTCAATGCAAGGGGCCTAAAGGTTACAAAGGAGAAGGGGAAAATGCCAAGGGTAAGGTTCAAAGCTTAGCTGATGCACTCTGGAGTGTCAGAGAATTCTTCTGGGGAAGCAGTGTTTAAACAGAAACCTGAAGAATAAGTAAGAATTTATGAGTGGGAAAGTGGGGCAGGAGGGAAGCATGTTCTGTAGAGGGAAGCAAAGGCATTGATGCAGGAAAGTCTGGGAGGCATTAAAGAAACTTTCCAACTGCTTCAGTTGGAGAGAAGTGGATGATGAGATGACCAGAACAGCTCAGTTGGGACATACATTTTTTGGCCCTGCCTCATCCTGGTTGAAATGGCTTTAAGGAAAGTAGAGAGGGCTTCCCAGTCATTTGTGCTCTTAGGGACCAAGGAAGTCAGCTGCAAAAATTCTTTTCCCTTCATTGAGCAATGCCTGGAATTCCTGGTTAGAAATTCATTCCTTTGCCTAAAACATTCCTCTCCTAAAATGTAAGTAGACTTGTATGGTGAAATACACTAACCTAACTGTATCAAGCATTATTTAGGAGGAATGAGTTATTTTTTAATACACTGATTGATGAAGAAAGAACACCATGATGGGGCTAATTAATGTGGTGGGAAACATTAACCATTGGGATAGGAAGACTCATCAGGGGCATTTTGACAAATATGGTGGACCCCTAGAATCTTCCACAGTGCAGGCACCTCTCTCTGTCGTGCTTTTGTAAACTTGGCAAACATTAAACCAAAATATTATAGAAAAATAAAAGAAAGAAGAAAACAGACATAGATTCCCTTCTCATTGAGAGGCATTTGGGGTTGAGTAGGGTACCCTCTTTCGTCTGCAGGGAATAGCTTGTCACCATTGCACATAGGGGAGTCAAGCTTAATGAGAGAAGTGTTCAGTTGTGTGAAATTCCATATTATGTAAATGCAGATTGGAAAATTGATGAATTTCCCTCTAGCCTTTTTTTTTTGTCTTTGCAGAGAGCTCACAAAAGCGAAATAAATTATCCAGACCCAAATTATGATCTGAATGCAGCTGATCTTCTAGTATGCCTAATAGTAAGACTGCCTCTCTACCTCATCAGCTACTTTTGTTGATAGTTATCATTTATAGTAATAACTGTGTGATCTTGTCTGTGTGCCAACTTTGAAAATGTTTTTAACGTAGTCTTAGATAAAGCAATTACATTTAAACATGATTCTAAATCCTAGTTACTTTTTACATGCCTGAATGGATTTTGTAAGTCCAGAATTCAATATAAAAATTATTTTTAATGTTTATTTATCCTGTCTATTGCCCCTCCAAATTTGAGAGAGCTTATTAAAAAAGAAAAAAAAACATGCAATATAACTTAAACCTTTGCATTAGAGATAAAAGGCAAAAGTCAAAAAATAAGAATGAGAGGGGAAAATGATTATACTGGTATATTTAGGCTGAAGAAAGCTATTGTCTTTGAATACATTTCAGTACTTTTCTAGGCATAGAGCAAAAGTGGACAGAAGTCCTTGCCCTCATGGGGCTTATAAAGAGACAGCATAACATATGCTGTGTCAGATGTGTGGTCAGGAAAGGACTGACTTCAAAAGCAAAGACCTGAAAGAGGCAAGGAAGCAAGCTGTAGGAATACTGTGAGGAGGAACTTTCTAGTAGGAGGGGCAAGAGTGACCCTGGCTTGTTCCAGGGTCAGCCAGGAGGCCAGTGTGGCCACTGTGGTTGTCATGGAGCAACCAAAGGGGAGAGTGCTATGAGAGGAGGTCACAGAAGTAAGAGGGTTGATTAAGTGCGGGGTGGACAGAGGGGTGACAGAGCATTCTGCGTCACTTTAAGGACTTTGACTTTACTTTGAGTAATCAAGGAGTCATTGGAGGGTTTTAAGCAAAGTGATATGATCAGACTTATGCTTTTAAAAAATAGCTCTATTTACTGTGTTGAGAATGGATGTTCGGGGCAAGGGAAGAAGAGCGAAACCAGGTAGCAAGGTGTTGTCATGTTACGATGAGCAACTACAGTGACCTGGGCGGGGTGGCAGCAGCATAAGCAGGGGTGAGAAGTAGCTGCTTCTGGGCAGTTTTGAAGGTAGGAACAGATAGACTTTGCTGACAGACTGGGTGTAGATCATATAAGAGGAAGATAGGAGGCAGGTTCCACAAAGCTGGATTGTCACTGTAGAGCTGGATTCCTCCCCTCATTTGTAAGGATGATTCACATCTATTTTATCTGAACACAAAAGACCACAAATTTGATTCAAATGTTTAAATAATATTTGTGAACTTAGGCCTAAATGTAACTGTTTTTCTTTTTTCCTAGCCTTACTTTCAGGCTTTGCTGTTCATTTTTGTTCTAAGATGCTTGGAAATAAAGTGTGGAAATAAAATAATGCAAAAGGATCCTGTTTTCAGGTTGGGATAAAACTTAATTTCACACTTTATATCATATTTTAATATTCATAGATAGTGGCTGCACTATCAATCCGTTAATAAGAATTTATATGTATGGTGTAAACAGCATGACGATTTTCATGATGGTCAGTGGATTTCTGGCTTAACTGCCAATAATAGGACACCCAGGCAGAGTTCTGCCACAAATCAACTGAAGGAAGCTCTTAGTCTCTCAAAAATTTAATGAGTACTCAAATATGCCATTCTCCCATTCAAGAGGATTGTGCATGCTTAAACCGAGGAGATGGGGTGGAATTGGTTCAGCAAAATAGTTGAGAGTTTACAAGTTCTAGAAAGGGTAAACAGTAAAAGATGTTGGATGTGATTAACATTGTCTCAGAGTTAACAGAGAAACTGTCGGTGACCTGATTTTTAACGAAGCAGCAGTGCTTGCTGACACATTTGAAAAGGTCAAAGATGCTCATTAGGAGAATGGCAACAATATCGAGAAAGGGATTTGGCTACTGGGATGGAAGTTCTTGGCAAGAGCAGAGGCAGTACTCATACAGCCATCACCATCCCGTTTACTGACAGTAAGGACCGAGGTAGAGTCACAGAGAAGCTGGTTTTTGATACGTCTTTGACGCCCAGAAAAACCACACATTGGACATTTCATTTTCTCTGCAGAATTTCCCCGAAAAGTAGAGATGCTCGACCAAATCCAGAAGAACCTGTAGATGAAGATGAAGACGTTCAAACAGAAAGAATAAGAACAGCCACTGCCCTGACCACTTCAATAGAGGAGGTAGGAAAGCAAGTGACAAAATGGGTGTTAATGGAACTATTTAAGAACTGTGAAGAATAGAGGTTGATGGGCTGGTTGTTGTTTTGAAAGTTTACAGTTTGGGGCATTATGTGATTCTTATACATGCAGGCACTTCTTTGGAGCTCTCTGGAAGCTCAAGGGAGAGCACAAATCATAATGGTTTTATTTTTTTGAGAAAAATGGGCTTGGATAAGCAGAGCTATAATTTCAAAACCTTAAATTTCATGAGTTGAAGAATTTATGTGAGATTTGTTTTTAAAATGACAAGTGGAGATTAAGATTTCAAGGCTTATTCTTTCATTTGACTTTGCTGTTGTGGTGTTTCCATGAGCTTAGAAACTGCTGGGAAGACAAGGAGTCGGCTTCCATGAAACTATGCTATTTTCTGAGTCCATTTAGAAGCAAAAAATATTGTCGACATCGCTGAATGCATGTTACATTTGAAACAAGCAATGTGGGTTACCCTCAACTCAAAATATGGTTTAGTTCATGAGGGCAAGAAATGTTCCAGTAGGGAGAACAGAGAAACGTAAACTCTCTGAAGTTCAAGAGGAAAATTATGCTGTCATCTATTCCAGAAACCAGTCATCATTGCTAGCTGTCTGCACAAAGAATATGCAGGCCAGAAGAAGAGTTGCTGTTCAAAGAGGAAGAAGAAAACAGCAGTGAGAAATATCTCCTTCTGTGTTAAAAAAGGTTTGAAAGAATCACTTTTTTATTCACCATTATTTTTTAGAAATGCCCACGAAACATCTATGTTATAGGCACTGTTGTACTTGCTGAAGCAGTCATTCATTCATTCAACATACATTTTTTGAGCGTGCCAGGGACTGTTTTAGGATCTGGAAATATTACGTAAAAAGTAGACAAGTTACTGATCTCATGGACTTTACATCCTAAGAGGGGTCAATAAACAAAAATAACTTATGAAGAGAAGTTTCAGATGTCACATTGACAAGTTCTGTGTGGAGCATTCAAATACGTGAAGTGACATGAGTGACTTGGGGCTGCATTCACTTAGGATTAGGAAAGACTTTTCTTGAGCAGTGACATTTAAGCCAAGATTTGGGTGATAAGTTGCTGGCTCTGTGAGGTTAAAGAGATAAGAGAACCCCAGGCAGAGGAAATAGCGAGGGCAGGGACTGAGACATAAGGAGGTCTTTGGGATGATTAAGGCACAAACAGAGAGGTCAGCGGGCATCTATGAATGGAAGGGATGAAGTCAAAGAGATGAGCAAGGCCAGATAGGGTACTGCGTTGTGGAATACAAAAGAGTTTACATTTTATACCAAGTTAGTGGAATGCCACCGGAGGGTTTTTGGAGGGTTTTTAGAGACTTTTTGTTACCATTTAATTTCTATTTTGAAAAAAAATTACACCCTGGCTATTGTTTGCTCATGAATTTGGGTGCTGGACAAGCTAAGAGGCTTTTATTCAGTTCAGATGAATGATTATGGTGACTCAGACATAGGTGGTGGAATTTGGGGTGGAAAAAATGTCCCTGACTCCCCAAGCTCAGGAATCACTTATGCACTCAGCACATTAACCATCTGCTGTTAAAAAAAATCAGTGAGAAAGTAATCTGGAAAAAAATAAGACCCATGTATTGATAACAAATCCCCAAGCTCTTTCAAAAATATTTTATGTAATTATAGGAGTTGCAGAACATGTTTTGGAGACATGGATTACATATACGTTATAAATTTCAAAATGGTACTGATGGGGTGCGCCTGTATCTCAGAAGGTTATTGAAGGAACAGGTTTATATTATTATTTTACTTCCAACACTGATAGTTGGTGATTCTTTTTCAGGTGAAATTTTGGGATTACTAGGACCTAATGGTGCTGGTAAAAGTTCATCAATTAGAATGGTATCTGGGATCATGAAGCCCACAGCTGGAGAGGTAGTGAAAATGAAGAAATGGTGTCTATTCCCAAAATAGAAGTATCCTAATATATATAGTTTGTATCTTTATGACTTATTTTTAGTAGTTAAAAAGTTTTCTATAATAAATGTGTGAAGTAATTTCTGTAATATTTCTTTGATGCTCAAAAATTAAGAATTTACTAGCTGTATGTCAGGTCTTGAGTAATCACGTGGTTAGGGAAAAGGCTACTCATTTCTAAAACCAGCTTACTTTCTTAGGTGGAACTGACAGGATATGATTCAGTTTTGGATCTTCGGGGGGACGGCAGGGTCAAGTTCCTGGGGTACTGCCCTCAGGAGAACGTGCTGTGGCCCACGCTGACAGCGAGGGAACATCTGGAGGTGTTCGCTGCCGTGAAAGGGCTGAGGAAAGCGGACGCCACCGTTACTATTTCACGGTACAGCGTGGTCATGGGATTCCTTTGTGCCAAGAGTCAGGGAGGCTGTACCATCAATGACGAATTCACTCGTCGAGAGTGGAGAGTAGAAATGACATCTCCACTTTTTCAGGGAGTGTCAGTGGTAGAGCAGAGATGGAGGACAGGAGCTGTTTCCTGCATCTCTGACTGAGGATCTTTAAAAAAAATAATTGCATGAAATCGTTGACAGTGTTAAATAGATGAGTAATCATGCGTAATCACCCATTTCACTTTCAAACTCAGATTTCTAGACATTTTAAAAAACTTTTTATGAGGTAAAAAATCTTTTGTGTTCCAAAATAAACTGTTTTTTTCTTTAATCACTAGAGTTTTTAGAATAATGCTCTTACTCTTGTGTGTGGTTACCTTTCCTTCAAATCCTCTCTTGGTCACATGGTCTCATCCTATTTTCCATCAGATTGGTGGAAGCTTTCAAACTGCATGAACAGCTGAATGTTCCAGTGCAGAAATTAATGGCAGGAGCCACTAGAAAGGTATGTGTGGTGTGTGGGGTTACTCTGAGGTCTGATGGGTGATGGCAGCAAATGGGGCGTTTCTCTGCATTCCAGTTGTGCTTTGTGCTGAGCATCCTGGGAAATCCACCCATCCTGCTTCTGGATGAACCGTCTACCGGCGTGGATCCAACAGAGCAGCAGCAAATGTGGTGAGAATTATAACCCTCAGTGCCAGGAGTACAAGCCATATGTAAAGGTAGCATTTTTAAACTGATCTTGGAAAATCGAATCCACTGGTTCCTAATCCTGGAGATAATCCAGATTATTAGGAAAACAAATATTTAACAAGTAGATTCTCTAATATTGCATCATGTTCGTGTGGTATTCACATTGGAAAAAACTCTCTAAGTATTTTGTTGGAGTTTCAGGTCTTGCAATTTGGAGTGTATTTTAATTTTGCCTTTTAATTACTGAAATGTTGATAGCTGTTTCCTTTGAAACAATTAACTTGCTGATATATTTTTCTCATTTCCTTTTTCCCTGTTTTTACCTAATCTGTCAAATTTACCAATCTAGTTTTTTTTGTTTGTTTGTTTTAAAATTCTTTTTACTTTCCTATCTAGGATTTTCCATTTAGAATTATAAAATTGTCTTAATTCAGTTTCATAATTGTGACCATCCAATATATTCTGAACTTTTTAAAAAGAACTTTGTTATGGAAATTTTATACAAATGAAAAGAGAATAATTTATGAACCTATTAAACCAATAATTATTTATGTAAGGCCAGTCTTTCTTCATCTTTTCCTTCCCCCACTTCCTCTCCCTATTTGCTAATTACTTTGAACCAAATACTAGGTAGTGTATCCTTTACTTATGAACATTCCAGTTAGTTTTTCCAAAAGATATGAAGTTTTCTTTTTTTAAACTTAACCAGAACACCATTAGCATACCTAAAAATATTGTAAATTTTCTTTATGTTATCAAAAACTTACTTGGTACTCACATTTCCCTGTTTTTTTTTAAATTAGGATTTAAATATAATTCATAAACTATGTTTTGTCTGTAAGATTTCCCCTCCACTTCTTTTTTTTCCCTACTCTTTAAAAAATGGTGTTAATTTGGGGGCTCACTTCAGGCAGACGATCCAGACAGCCATTAAAAACACGGAGAGGGGTGCCCTCCTGACTACCCATCACATGGCAGAGGCCGAGGCCATCTGTGACCGCGTGGCCATCCTGGTGTCTGGAAGGCTGAGGTGGGTGTCTTTCCAGAGCCTGAACTTGACCTTCAAAACAAGATTCCCTATGAAGAGGGCAAAATCATTATGAGCAGCTAGAGCACTTCATCTCCCTCGGGACACCTCTTTTCCTACTTCTGAAATTTAAGAATAACATGAAAAAATTTAAGAGGCAAGATTTTTCCCAACATGTCTTCCTTTCTTTCCTTCGTAGATTCATCGGCTCCATCCAACACCTGAAAAACAAACTTGGCAAAGATTACATTCTTGAACTAAAAGTGAAGGAAACTTCTCAGGCGGCTTTGGTCCACACTGAGATTCTGAGGCTTTTCCCACAGGCTGCAACGCAGGAAAGGTGAAAAGGGCTTTTGATTGTGGAGAATGAGGTTGGCCCTATGCACTCAGTGGCTCCTCTTCTGCTCTGTGAGGACTTCAGGGCGATTTGACTTCACAGTCAAGTTAGGGACCTTGAGAACTGATTTGTTGAGTCTTCCAGCTTATAAGGTATTTGGGAGCTATGCAGAAAGCTATGTTCCCACAGGGAGGCCTGGGGACACCCTGCGTGGGTCTCCTTGGCTGTCCAGGGTTGGTCCCCAGCTCTGGAGGAGGACTTGGGAAAACTGGAGTAAGGAACTTCTGACGACTTGGATCGACACAGGACTGCAGCTGGGGCCATGCTGCCTTCCCTAGACGTCCCTATGAATATTTAAAAGATACAAACATTGGCAATTTTAAAGATGTAACTCTTTAGGGTAAATCTACCTCATTGGAAACAAACAGCAATTGAGATAATCCAGGAGTGTCCCTTTAACAGTTTTCATGCCTCAAAACAAAGACTAGAAAGGTGCATGTGTGTGCATATATGTCTGCGTGTGTTGTGTATGTCTGTGTGTTATTAAGGGGAGGGCAGGGAGGTGGAGCAGGAACTGAATCTGAAGTTTCTTGGAGGGATAAGCACACCAAAGAAGCAGGACATGACAATAGCTGTTTTCCTTTTAGCACAGTACAGGTGTGACGGAATTATCTGAGGTACATATATATGTCAGGCATATAACTCAGTCCTATTCCTAGACTAATTTGAACTAATCAAAGGGACTCATTCAGAATATCTGTGCTCAACAAGAAAAAGTTTTGCCTAAAGTGAGCATAAATGTAATTAAACTGGATCATTTCTAGGAGAATGATCTCTAGCAGCCAGCCACCAAAGCCACTGAAAGAATTGTCCTTAATAAATCAGCTATTTCGTATTTAAGCTGTGGATTAATTTTTCGTTACTTTTATCTTAAAAAAGGAAATTACTGTTAATATCGTTTATTTTAATGGTCATTTTTCCCCTTGAAACTCAAGGTCAAGTATGACATTTCTCTCTTTCCAGGTATTCCTCCTTCTTGGCCTATAAACTGCCCATGGAGGATGCTCACCCTCTTTCTCAGGCCTTTCACAAATTAGAGGCGGGTAAGAATGACCATTTTTAAATAAAACTTTTGAAGAATTAATCCAGAATTAGATAGGGTTTTTTTTTGTATTTAACTTTTTTTTTTCATTTTTAAACTGAGGTATAGTTGATTTGCAATATTGTATTAGTTTCAGGTGTACAACATAGTGATTCAAAATTTTTATAGATTATGCTTCATTTAAGGTTATTATAAAATGTTGGCTGTATTTCCTATGCTGTACAACAGCTTATTTATTTTATACATAGTAGTTTGTACCTCTTCAGCCCCTGCCCTTCTGCTGCCCTTCCCTGCTCCCCTCTCCCCACTGGTAACCACTAGTTTGTTCTCCATATCTGTGAGTCTTTCTCTGTTTTCTTATATTTATTTGCTTGTTTTATTTTTTAAAGTCTACATATAAGTGATAACATACAGCATTTGTCTTCCTCTGTCTGACTTATTTTATTAGGAATAATACCCTCCAGGTTCATCCATGTTGTTGCATATGGCAAAATTTTCATTCTTTTTATGGCTGAGTAGTATTCCATTGTATGTATGTGTGTGTATATATATACATACACCACATCTTTATCCATTGATCTGTTGATAGACACTTATGCTTCAATTATCTCTGCTATCATAAATAATGCTGCTATGAACAATGGGATGCATATATCTCTTTGAATTAGTGTTTTCATTTTCTTCAGCTATATACCCAGGAGTAGAATTGCTGTATCATACAGTAGTTTTATTTTTAGAGTTCTGAGGAACCTCAAAAACTGTTTTGCCTGGTAGCTACACCAATGTACATTGCTACCAATAGTGTACAAGGTTTCCCTTCTCTTCACCTCCTCTCCAGCATTTGTTACTTGTGGTCTTTTTGATGATGGCCATTCTGACAGGTGTGAGTTCATAGCTCACTGTGATTTTGATTTGCATTTCTCTGATGAATAGCGATGGTGAGCATCTTTTCATGTGCCTGTTGGTCATCTGTATGTTTTCTTTGGAAAAATGCCTATTCAAGTCTTCTGCCTACTTTTCAGTCGAGTTGTTTTTTGGATGTTTCTCTGTAGTAACTATCATCATTTACTTTATTATATATTTAAGTGCTTATTTATTTAATGCCCATATTCCTCCACACTATAATGCAAACTACATGAAGGCAGGAATTTGGGGTTTGGCCTGATTTCTCTCCTGCTCTTTCCTTGACACCTAAGGGTGGCTCACACACAGAAAATTCTCTTTGTACAAATGGTGGACGGTGGAAGCATGAATTTGTAAATCTGATGACCAGTCTCATGCAGATTTCCTGGTAGAGAGCTGGCATGGAAGATGAGCTGGCTGAAGTATAGTCACACAAAACTAGTGTGTCCTTTTAAAGGGAATGGGATGGAATTGAAATCTCCCTCATGTGGAGGACTACATCGATCACTTATGCAGTTCCTCAAGGAACTGACATATCTCCCCAAGACACATATACTAAGTAGTAAAACACATATTATCAAAAAGTTATATGAGAAAATTCTAATATGAAGGTGAATTTAGTATGTATTTATATTAACACTATGACTTTTCATTATTTCATTCTTTCACCAAGCTTTTGTCTCCTCAGCTCTAAATTCTATTTATGTTAATTATTTGAATTGTTATCTTGGATGACTTTGGAAAAAAATCTAAGTAAATTGTAAGCACCTACTACTAGTCTGTTTTTTCCAGTGAAACGTAACTTTAACCTGGAAGAATACAACCTCTCTCACTGCACATTGGAAAAGGTGAGTCAGCCAGTATGGTTTTGTATCATCCCTGTAAATTTCACATGAAAGTAACTACATTTCTCCTGTTTATATGGAAGACAATCAGCACCTTGATAATCCTTTTTCCTTTTTATTTGTCTCCTGTTTAGGTATTCTTGGAGCTTTCTAAGGAGCAAGAGCCGGGAGATTTTGATAGAGAGGTGGATACAACAGTGAGATGGAAACTCCTCCCTCATTCAGAGGACCCTTAGCACTTCAAGCCTGATACTTCTTTGCGGATGTCGTATAAGCCTGTGTCATGTGCAATAATTAGCAGAATTGTAATTAGAAAATTATGAACACCAATATTAGTATATTTGTATATTTAATCAACAAATGAATAAATTTAAAAATTATGCTTCCCCTCAAATTTAGAGGTGATGGACGATCTGTGATAAAGGCAGTAGCACAAAGTACTAGCAAATATACCTGAGGAGCCAGGCATAGGGGGTTGTGAAAATAAAACCGCAAAGTTGAAGTTTTTTTAAATACGACTTTTTAAGAAATATGACATTATTAAACTTCGCTGCTCACCTGTGTGAGGGATGTATTCAACAGCTATAGCTGCATGATTGTTGCACAACAGTTTGTGATTCATTGGATACATGAGTTTGCTTTAATACACAAATACAATCCAAGGGTCTTCCTCTGAAACCTTTTCAGAAATTGTTTTAAAACTCGTGGGATTAGGAGTCCCTTGTATTCACAAGTGAACAAGCACGTGCGTTGGAAAAGCACTTCAAATATACCTTTTGAAAACAGTGGGAGCCACAGCAGTATTTGTTCAGATTTTTAAAAGTTTGAGTACGTTGTATGAAGTTCTTATGTTTGTGGTGGGCTCTGATTTCCCTCATCGTCTGATCAATAGTTCTTTCGTATTTTTACTGCTGCTTTGAGATTGTTTCTCTCTTACGTAGCTTATGTACACACACGTGCAGATATCTTTTGTATTATTCAATTTAAAAAATCTGTGCCAGCTTTACGTAGTATTTCATTTTCTCCTTAAACAATAGCTATTTTGTTTTGAATATCACCAGTTAAAGTTTTCAAAGCCAAGCAGTATTCTTGCTGCTTTTTGAGGGTGAGACGTTACATACCTTCCAAAACAAATTGTTGTGCTCAGAGAAGAAAATTTCTATAATAGAAAAAAAAGAAATTGAATAAAATGAGTAAGAGTCATCGCCCTTCCTCTATACTGTCCTCCCAAAGTCAACTACTTCCTTTCTTTCTGTAGTTTCTTCCTTTCTTTTCTTTGCTCATTTTTTACATAGAATCGTGATCGCACATATAATTTTCTGATTAAATAATATGCATAGTTACTGATATGACAATGGTTTTAATTTACTTTTAAATTTATGGTGAGGTTGCAGCTTTATATGTTTGCATTTTATTTTGTTTTAATTATTTGTACTCTGTTCATTTATCTTTGTATTTTAACTGTTTCTTAGCCACTTTATAAGCTTTTTATATAGTGAAATATTTTATGTATTTTACATATATCATAATTATATCTGGAGCATTGCATTTCCAAATCTATGATAAATGATCTATAGTTAATTGTTTACTCAGGAGCCCTTAGTGGCTTATAAAAGTAATTCCATATCATAATTAGAGTTGAATTTAATTATTTCTAAAACTCAAGCAATAAATAATACTGTTTTGCTCAACTGTATAACATCACAACATATATAAACATTTTACATAACAAATGATGAAATTTTTGCTTGTATTCTTTATAAATTACATGTTTTCTTAATTATTATAGACATATGTTTTACAAAGTACCAAATAACCAGTATCAAATATAGTACTATGAAGTCTTTAAAAGATTAATCTGGACATAGTTTGCTAAAACTATCATAATATAGTTGTTTTTGAAACTATTAACTTGTGTTTTTATTAGGATTGTGTTCAAGAGCAGGTGAATCACTACGAAAAGAGAAGGTGATCAGAATAAAACAGAGGAAGGGATGCTTTACAAAGGGTGGAAAGTCTGTACCATCTCTAAATCTGTTGTCAGCAGATCTCGTGCAGCTTTTGTTCTCTATTTTCCTGACATACCCTTTTCAGGGGAGGCTGACCTGAAAAGGTCGACTGTGGTTGGCATCACAGTTCCGTTGTTTGACGGTTGGCTTCCAGTTGGCTTGACTAGTCTAATAGGAAGTAGCAACAAGAGATGGGAGCATGAAAGAGAGAGACCAGAGGCTTTCTCGCCTCCTACCCCTGTTTTAGTGTCGGATCTCAAGCAGTAGATGTAGCTTACAGTCTTTGCCCCCCCAGTTGCAGCCTCCTACTTCTGCCCCCTCATGACACAGCTGGCCTCAGCAGTGTCTCCCACTTAGCCCACACTCAGCCTCAAGCTGTCCATCAGAATTACCATTTCAGTGCTTGCTCCTGCCAGCTTATGGCTCTAGCGGCTTCTCCAGGTAAGCAGATCTTGGCTGTCATTCTCTGTATTCACTTGTGTAAAAGAATAAGAAATGTATACCTTGGTCGCTGCCCCTGGTTTCTGCTAATGTTTGTTTTTTGGCTCGGAGCTTCTAAAATCCTTGTAATTTCCTTAGCAATAGGATTGTCTGACCCAGAGCTCATAAATTCCCTGGAATTTCCCAGGTGATAAGAGCATCCTTTATTCTAATGAGGCAACTATTGGTGGGCTCCTGGATGAGGGCTGGGCGCCAGAAAGACCGAACTATGATTAAAAACTTGGTACTTTCAGCCTCATCTCCCATTCTTTGAAGAGGGGAGAGGGGTTAGAAATTGAATTAACAATTGATCGTGGCTCCCTGATAAAGCCTCCATAAAAACCGCCCCAGTACTGAGTTCGGAAAGTGTCTGGGTTGGTAAACACATGTGCCAGGAGGGTGATGCACCCCCCAGCTCCACAGGGACCCAAGTTCCTGTGCTCGGGACCCGTCCACACCTCATCCTGTGTCCCTTCCTATGGTTATTTACCTGAATCCTTTATCATATCCTTTTTATATAATAAACCTATAAACATAAGTGTTCCCTTGAGCTCCATGAGCTGTCCTAGCAAATTGGGGAACCCAAGGAGGGGAGTAATGGGAAGCCAAATTTGTAGCCGTTGATCAGAATCACAGGTGACCACCTGGGGACTTGCGATTAGCGTCTGTTGTGGAAGTCGTTTTGTGGGACTGAGCCCATAACTTGTGGGATCTGATACTAGCTCCAGGTAGATAGTGTTAGAACTAAATTATTTGGATTAAATCCTCTAATACCCAGCTATGGACTGCATCACAATTCCCTTCTTTGTTGGCCATAAGTGAAGTAGGGTTGCAAAAGGAAACACTATTTTTCCTGGACATTTGGTGTCAGTGAAGTGGAATTCGCTAGGACTGCACTGGCTCATGAAAACATACGGGTTGGGAGAGAAAGTATGAAAGGGCAAAGGATGGGGAGTCTTTGATCCCCAATGGCTCCCTAGTCACTGAGGTATAAAACTGCAACGGTGCTACCATCAGTCACTAAGGGTAACAGTTACTAGCGGAGGGAGAGATGCGAGCAGACACAATTCTTCCCAAGGAGTTGGTTCATTGGTTATGTAAGGAAACAAAACATACGCATGCTGAACATACAATCTGTGCAAGTTACTATTATCTGTAATAGTGAAGGTGGGAGAAACTGCTGTCAGATTTGGGTCAGTCTTAGCTTTGGCTACTAACCTCAGAGCTGCCTGCAAAGGGGAAAATTATGCCAAGAAAGTACCTCTGAGGCCTCTGGTCTCCAAAAAGGAAGTCAGTGTGGTGGAGGGAAAACCAAGAAATTGCTGAGGCCAGGGCTGTAGTGTGAAGGAGTTGTCTCATTTTATGGATTGGTACCATCAGCTTCCTGAAGAACCTTTACTAAAATGGATTATGAGAGTGGCTAATTTGGGGGCTGTGTCTTTGGTTTTGAGTGCTGCAGAGGGGAAGAGCTTGGCTGGGTCTTACAGGACCTGTTGAACAGTCACAGATGGCTCTATGTGATCCAGACACACAGAAGGTTATTCTTGAGGGAATGGCCAGCCTGGTGGACTGGATAAAAGCCACCATAAAATGTATTTATTCTGAAGAGGGTAACTGCCCAACTCCCCTAGAAATGCCTAGTGGAACACCTCGGATGAAGCAGTGGATATGCTTCGAATGCAAGTGGCATTGGCTTTATGGTGACTGGGACATTCATCCATTAAATATGCTCATTAGCAGGTTATGGTAAATGCTGTAATTAAAGGGGTCCCTTTTACATGGGCACCCCATGTGACATTACTCTGCAAAAATCTAATGAGTCTGAGAAGCTTTATCAGATTTGCAGTCTCATTTCGCCATATAGATCTTACTGATACCAAGGTTACTAAAGTAATTAAAAAGAAAATAAGAGACTGAGAGGAGAGTCAAGGAACTTGACCTAGAAAGGGGGACGTTCTAGATGGTTACTGAGAAATGGGGTGAACGTGGTGGACATCGGTGGTAAGGAAACAAAGGTGTTGATGCAGTACTGTTGAAGGTTGGGTGGATCAATGGGACACCCTGCTGGTCCCCGACATGAGCAGGGCCCAAACAAGTCGACTTCATTTACCCAAGTTTGGAGGAATTTTAAAAAACAGAAGGCAAACATGACGATAAGATACTCTGCCCAGAATCACCGGGAATATTGGTTAAGCAGATTAATCAAGGTAAAGATTGAAGGAGAGGACAGAGTCTTCTGGTCCTACCTGGTGGGAACCCAAGGTCATATGTACATGTGTGAGTAACATGACCAGGGAGGGGTTGGGAGAGAGACTTTCCTGGGACTCCTTGACACAGGAGCCCAGTGCACCGTAATTTGAAACCTGTTGGTGAAATCTTAATGGCTGCTAAATTTAGATTGGGAGGATGTGGAGATGCAAAGGCTGATGGGATTGAGTGAAAGTGTAGGTGAAAATTGGGATTTTTGAGCAACGTTTATGTGAGGTGGTCAAGTCTCCTTTACTGAGTGTATTATTGGGATGGGCACCATTGGGATGGGTATTACATCTAACTGGGGATTGGTTCCTCTACTGAACATTGTAAACAGAAAGCATGGAAGTGCACCCTCAGGCTTGTCTTAATTGGACGCACTAAATGAGAACCAATAGAACATGAGTAGGTAATTGAAACAATATAGAATAGTTTGGTAGGCAAAAGGGGATGACCACTTTAATTAATGACATGTTGGAAGCTGGAGTGCTGGTACCAATGACTTCCCCGCCCAAGAGCCCTGTGTAGCCCACGGCAAAGGCTTGTAGCTCATGGAGGCTAACAAGAGATGACTGCGGTTTGGATCAAGTTGTTTGGCCGTAACTCAGCAGTTCTGGACACGGCTTCAACCGTGCGAAGAAGCAGAGCCGGCTAAATGAGACTGGGACGTAGCAACTCTTTCTGCAGACACATTCTTCTCCATCTCAGTCTTGGAAGAGGGCCAAGCGTCGTTCATTTTCACACGGGGAAGATCTCAGTTTGTTTACTGTGCTGTCATGGGTTATCTTAACTCCTCAACTTACTGTCATCATTTGGTCAGAAGGGATTTGGGCTTGATATGGGTTTCCAGTGCAGTAAGACACCATATTGATGACGTTATGATTGAATTGAATATATTGGTGACTCACATAACCGAGGCTGGGCTAATAAATCTAGTGAAAGTCCAAGGACCAGCCCTAATGGTAACATTCTTAAGAATAACGTGGGCAGGAGCCATCCGGGATATTCTACAAGAGACTAAAATTAAACTGCTGTTGCTCCCCCCTAGGCCCAAACCGGAAGCACTGTGTTTGGTTGGTTTATTTGGATTTGGGAGAACACTATTCCACCTCTGGGAATATCGCTAGCTGCCATGCACGAGGCTACCTAAAGAAAGCCATATTTGTGTGGAGAGGCAAACAAAAGCAGGTCATGTTTGAGTTTTAAAAAGCTGTAAGGCTCTTAACACCTTTGGGTCCTTGTGATTGCAGATTTCAGGGCTGTGATGGTTCCCAGAAACATCATCCATGTTCAGTTTGCTTACCTTTTCCTTGTTGTTAGGAAGGGAATGAGGACTTCCAAGCGCTTTCCATGTCACAGGTAAAGGAACTGAATTCTACATTTTATTGATTTCTAATGAATTAAAATTTAAGTTTAAATACCCACGGGCGGCTAGTGGCTGTGCATATTGGACAGTGCACTTCTAAAGTTAGTACTTCTGTCCTCATCCTGAACTGTAAGATTTACAGGGAACTTAGCTCTGATCATGCCTCTCTTTTCTCCAGTATAATTGCTGTGTGATATTTTAATCCCACATTGTGTTTAACACCCTCCCGCCATGCACAAATTAGTCATTGTCATCATTACCTTGCACCGTTAATATTTATTTAGTTTACCAATGTATTTATTTGTCTCCAACATCCAACTACTTCCTTTTGGGCTCAATTTCTTTCTTCTTGAAGGAGATCCATTATCAGATATATTATCCATTATCAGAGATATCTATAATGGAGAAATCCTAAATTTTATTTAAAAA